GCGCTTATTTTGAATAAATGGTAAAACTTTGTCCTCGATTTAAAGTGAATGCAGAGAAATTACATTTAACTTTAGAAAAGGAAGAGAGCTGCCTTCTCGACGAGGGAGTGAAACCCAATAGGTAATATTCTTTTACAGCGTTACAATGGATAGGTTGTAGTTCATAGGTTATAATATTATGTTTCACTATGATAAAGCTTATCATGTGAGAGTGTACAATATCAGAGTTGATCAAATGCGACGATCAAGGGCGTCAATCGGGTGAGTTTGATCAGAGGCTTTAATCAAAGGCGTCATCCCATCACGGAACACCACCTCCCTGCGTTTATTACAGCAACAGAAGCAACAACAGCAGCGACAACAACAGCAGCAACATCACATTTCGAGGGCGACGCAGCTACTTCCGATTCTGCTGCCCAGCTGTTTGGAGTCAGGACCTGCTCTCGCAGGAGCCCACACGTCTTTGGAAATGATTGCGATGATCATGTCTGAGCTGAGAATTAAGTCACTCAAGATTTCTTTGTTTAACCATAACTTTAGGTAGGTTAGTGTCATCGGGGCTCTGTGAATACTACTCATGAATGAAATCACACTCCTGTATGACCGACATTGTACTAATTTTGGTTGATCGAGCAGAACAAGTCACATGACATGTCCAGACGAATTCTTATCAACAACAGTGTCCTTAAATATGATGCTAAAATAAATGTTAACACTGGATTAAACGTGCACCTCTTAACCCCTCCCTCGCATTTACGACTAACGATTTGCATTTTCACATGTGCATGATTCTTATACGACCACACTGTGATTCTAATGATATTATAATACCTTACCTCCGTGTATATGGTTATAAGTTTATAATCGTTTAATGATTAGTGTTATCGTTCATAGTATTACAGTTTACATGTTATAAAGTACAGTTTATCCCCGACATACTTCGGGATTAGGGACTGGTACGTTGATGAACGATTAACTACGGGGACCTTTCCACTCAAGGAACACGTGTTAATCGGGTAGACAGCCAAGATGCTGCCGGTTAAGGGCACACTTGTGTGACGGAGATCCTCCACCTGAAATTCTCTTAACATGTTTTTTCTGGGAACATTATAAAATAAAGACCGGACAAACATTTGTAAAAAATACGTTTTTATTCATCTGCAATCATTTTTACGTCAAAACTCGAAGGGAATATGTATTATGTTCTATGTTCACACATTTCCAGTATAATGCAAACCATTTTCCGTTCTAGGAATACCAAAGCGTTAACATATAATTCCCCATGATTTCCTTATTAGTTCACCACATTTGTTCATTGTGCGTCTATGTTGAAGTCAAGGCCATATATCCAACGAACGCGTCATCAATGTACATCCTGAAACTCCGGAGTTTGCTTTATCTTCTTGGAAGCCCTCTTCTCCAAAGCTCGGAGCTATTGGGCCCCACACAGGATTGGAGGACGTGGCGGCGGCGATGGCGGCGGTGGTGGAGGTGGTGTCAGTGGTAGTGGTGGTGGCAGTGGTAGTGGTGCTGCTGCTGGTGGTAGCGGTCTGGAGCCATTGTCGCTCGATCTTGGCGAGGCGCTGCTCTTCCTCGAGGCACTTTTGCTCCACAAGACGCTTCTCCTCCATCAAGTGCTCCTCCTCCTCTTGACGCTTCACCTCAACGAGGCGCTTCTCCTGCATGAGACGTTTCTCCTCGAGGAGCTTCACCTTGCGAAAGCGCCTCTCCTCAAGACGCTTCTTCTTCTTCTCGAGACGCTTCAGCTCTATGAGACGCTTCACCTCAAAGAGGCGATTCTCCTCCATGAGGTGCTTCTCTTCCTCGACCCGCTGCACCTCAAGGAGGCGCTTCTCTTCTTCCACCCGCTTCTCCTCCATGAGGCGCTTCTCTTCCTTGACCCGCTTCACATCTATGAGGCGCTTCTCTTCCTCCAGATGCTTCTCCTTGAGACGCTTCACCTCGCGAAGGCGCTTTTCCTCTATGAAGCGCGTTTCTTCAAGGAGGCGCTTTTCCATGACGCGTTTTACGTCGTTGAGGATTTTGTTTCGAAGGCACTTCTGCTCCGTTTGGTGCTTCACCTTGGCGAGGCGCTTCACCTCATTGGGGCGCTTCTCTTCCATTGTGCATTTTTCCTTTGCAAGGCGCTTGTCCTCCTGGAGACGCTTCACTCCGCTGAAATTCTTCACCTCCCCAATGCTCCTCTGTTCACGCGAAGATAAGCACATGACCAATCAGACGTGCACTCAGGACAAAATCCATTCTCGCAGGCACACAAACATGGACGGGCACATAGACAAACAAAAATGCATACTGGCACATCTATGTACGGATGCAAGAATGCACATTAACTCATGCAAACATGCTAGCACACGTATGAATATACACTATCACCTAATGTTATCAAAATACATGTTACATCCTCATATTCTCACAAATTCAATACACGCACTTAATGCAGTGATAGTCTACAACGATTTCATGGCGATTGTTGGCAACAATCATCACGGGCAATAGTTTCCACAGAATCTTCTATTGTAAAGATCTGTATGCCCATAATCTGGACACATTTTATTGCAGCACCCATAATGGGTAACTGGAATGGCAACTTCCAATCAGCTCACAGACATAATTCATGAGATTGCCTGATATCATTCTGTCTTCATTGGTAATGAATGGCGACTTCATTTGCCTGCACGAGTGGGATATGGCATGACGTGATGGTGGAGAGATGGAGTGATGGTGTTGGGAGATGGTGTTGTGATACGGAGAGGTGAAATTGTGGAATGTTCTGGAGAGACGGTGCCTTGTGATGGTATTGACGCTTTATGAGGCTCTATGATATTGTATTGATTCTCGATTTGAAGCTTTCGTGACTGCAAGCATTCATACTCACGTATGTGACTTTACCGAAAAAACCTAAGAAAGAGTCACATACGTGACTTTACCGAAAAAACCTAAGAGTATATTGTATTGAGTTGGTGGTGGTGTGGTGTGATGAGAAAGGTGATGTGAAGAGATGGTGTGGTGATGTGAGGTGTAGCAATGTTTTGGTGCAATGGTGTGGGAGTGTGGAGAGAATGTGGTGTTTGACTCCCATAGACCCCATACACACCTTTGGGGAACGATTTTCATAGCTTTGGCCTGGGAAAGGGTCCACTTCATCCATAATGTCCCCCCACGTGGTCGACTGGCGCCATGACTCCCGGGCTACGGAAAACAAAATTAATTCAAAGGACGAGTCATGTATTAGAGAACGAAGCACGTGGATATTCACACAACTAATTCTGAGATTCTTGTAATTACCTCTTAACACATAACATGACCTGCTGTTGAGAAACATTAGTCACATGGCAGTAAAACATTACAAGTAATATTTTTGTAAGCATGTTGAGATCATCAATTTCATAAAGTTGAGACCCCAAATTAAACCAATATGGCTGAAACGCAGCTCTAAATCCATGTTGTCTGCCACCCTTAACCGTTTACCTCTTCCCATCACCACCAAGCCACGTCCACTAAAAATAATTAATCAGGGAGCTGCCTCCTCTGCATAAAAACCACGTGCTGCAGGTATTTGGGATAATTGTTTTTTTACCCTTCTATCTGGCAACAAAACTGACACCTTTTTACAAGGAGTCATGTTTGCATAGAACATAAGTTGTTAATGAGATTGTTTATTTGTGTGTGTCTGTTATCTATGTCTGTGTCAGGTTACATATCTATGTTTGTCGCTGTGTGTATTTGTTAATTTATGATGGGTGGTGATGATGCTGTTTCTTGATAATGGATGGTGGTGATGATGATGGGTGGTGATTATGAAGGGTGGTAATGATGATGGTTGGTGATGATAATGTGTAGTGATTATGATGGGTGGTAGTAATGATCATGGGTGGTGGTAATGATTGGTGAGGTTATGATGATGGGTGGTGATGATGATGGGTTGTTGTGATTATGGGTGTTGATGATGATGGATGATTGGTGGTGGTTATGATGAATGTTGGTTGTGATGGTTGGGTGGTGGTGGTGGTGACGATGGTTGGTGATGGTGAGTTGATAGTGATAATGATGATTGGTGATGATAATGGGTGTTGATGCTGATGATTATGGGTGGTGATGAGTAAATGAGCCACCACCCAATATATAACAGCAACAGAAGTAACTACAGCAGCAACAATAACAGCAGCAGCAACAACACATTTTGAGGGCGACGCAACTACTTCTGATTCTGCTGTTTCTGCTGCTCGACTATTTGTAGCCAGGCCCTGCTCTCGCGGGACCCCACAAATCTTTGGAAATGATTGCGATGATCATGTCTGAGCTGAGAATTAAGTGACTAAACGTTACTTTGTTTAACCATGACTGTGTGTAGGTTAGTATCTGGGGGCTCAGCGAATACTATTCATGAAAGAACTCGTACTCCTTTATGACCGACATTGTACTAATTTTGGTTGATCGAGACGAACAAGGCACGTGCAGACGAACTTTTATTTCCAATATTGTCCTTAAATTTGATGCTAAAATAAACGTTAACACTGGATTAAACATGCACCTCTTAACCTCTGCCTCGCATTTACGACTAACAATTTGCATTTACACTTAACATACAGTCAAGCACAGTAAAATGCTAATACGACAATATTGTTATTCTAGGAATTTGAATTCGATTCTAACCCTGCACCCCACCCCAGTTTGCATATCCAACCCCCGGTTCGATGGAACGTTCGCTTTACATACATATGAGCAGAGTGCGATTATAATACTTCTAATGAGATTTGAATACCGTACCTCCGTTTATGGTGTAATGAATTAGAAAACCAGTTTATAGTCATTTAATGTTGAGTGATATCGTTTATTATGATACAGCTGAAGTCATAGAGGTGAAACGGCTGCAGTGTGTATGAATACAGATAGGGCGTCGCCGTTGGTTCGTCCACCCATCCCGCCTCAAGACTTATGTCCGTCCCCACCCAGACAGCTCATCCCCATGTCCTGTACAGCCCAAGTCTGGTGTGTCCGACGTGGTGGGGCGCTCGGCAACGGAAACCGTATTTCCAAAGGAAATGTGTTGTGGCGCCCACAGTTTCTGAGCCCCTGATGCCCGGGGTGCCTCACGGATCCGCCACGTTCGAGGTACCGGTGCCTGGAGCCTGGTCATATTCTTCAAAAGAAGTCAGGGACCTGCCTAATCCTTCAAGGCTGTGGTGCGAGCCCTTGACGCCCCGAAATGCACAAGATTTCACCATGGGCGCGGGACGGGCGTCGAGAACCAAGTCAAAATGCGCAAGGTTGCGCTTGTAGGCTCCACGCCCAATATCAATGCTGTATATTATTAATTCTGACCTTACTCCCTCCCTTTGATGCTGCTAATCCTGCATAATGCACGGGCATAATGACTTTAAACCCCTCGCCAAACCTCCTACGCATTTCACAAGTAGTGCTAATCGCATATCTGCATTTCCCATAAATATGCTAAACTCCTCTTGATATGCAAATTATTTTGTCAAGACGCTCTTCGCCCCTCCATCGCAGCAGCATAAATAGTCGCTCCAAGCCTGGAGCGTGACATTCAGACTCTGTCTACTTGACGGACCTGTTCTCCACCTGAGGACGGCTGCTTGCGTTGTGGCCGAAACGTCGTGAGAATTATTTTATTATGTTTTATTTTTATTATTTTATTACTTCCCTTCTACGTGACTTTACCAAAAGAACCAAGAAGATGTATATTGCTATTCGGTTCCATTGAGATGGAACATTCTACCAGCAGTGGGCAGCTTGATTCTAATACGACCATGGTGCGATTTTAATAATTTTGATGCGATTCTAAATCTGGCACCACCCAGGCCGCATTTACGACTCCCGATGTGCATCAACATATAACATACATTCTAGCTCAGTGTAATTCTAATACTATCATAGTGTTATTCTAATCATTTTTATCCGATCATAATCCTGCACCCCCCAATTCGCATATCCGACCACCGGTTCGCATGTCCAAAGGCCATAGATGCATATTACATGCATACGAGCACAGTTCGCTTGCACGTACACTATTATAAACGAAATTCTCAGTTTTTTTAAATGAACGTAGTTTTTTCATATCATATGAAATGCAATTATGTTATAATATGTGATTGTTATACACTTTATCTGTTTACATACCGTATATAGCTATTCGATTCAATTAACATGACATTCATCCAACAGTGGACAGTTTTATTCTAATACGACTAACGTGGGATTTTAATAATTGTAATGAGATTCAAATCTTGCATATCCTACCCCCGGTTCGCATTCACTTAACATGCATATGGTCACAGTATGATTCTAAGATTATCACAGTGCGATTATAATTATTATTATGCGATTATAATTACGAACCTCCGTTTATTTTGTTCAAAACTAATAATACCGTACCTCTGTTTTTGGTGTTATAAATGATTAAACTAGTTAATAGATTATTTATTTTAACTATTTTTGTTATCGTTGATAGTGTTACAGTTCACACGTCATACTTGATGATTAGGGGCCGTAACGTTGCGAATAGATTTATAATGGGGACCTTTCCCCTCCAGGGACACATGTTAATGGAGAGACAGCCAAGATGCTGCCGGTTAAGGGCAGATTTGTGTGACGACGATCCTCCACCTAAAACTCGCTTAAAACACGTTTTTGCTATAAACATTATAAAATAAATAAACGGACACACATTTGTTAAAATACGTTTTTATTCATCTGCAATCACTTTTACGTCAAAACTCGAATGGAATATTTATTATGTCATATGCTCAAACAGTTACAGTACAATGCAAACCATTTCCGTTCCAGGAATACCAAAGCGTTAAAGTATAATTCCCCATGATTTCCTTATTAGTTCACCACGTTTGTTCACTGTTCGTCTATGTTGAAGTCCAACGAACGCGTCATCAATGTACATCCTAAAGTCGATTATTACCAACCAAAAAAAGCTTTATACTTGAAAAAAAAACGTAAAAAAAATGTTTAGTAAAGATCTAACTACAGATGCATTCCAACTTTAGCTCAACAGGAAGACTTAAACACAACAATATTGTCTGGAATTGAACCATCTCACAACCACTGCTCATCACACCACTTCACCAAGTAATCACTACCTGCACGTCAATAAACTCTCAAACGAACTGCAAAACCAAAGGGTCAGAATTACACACAAAAGTACTCAAGACAGCTTAATAGGTATAACCGCATGCAACATTATATTTCAGTCAACGCTAGCTCTCGGTTCGATCCTCGAGCCACTCCATTACATCCAGCCATCTCTCGGGATCCAATTGCATGGGATCGAAGGTGGAATTATCTTCAGGATTCATTGCAGCACCTTGAATTTCAGCTTTTGATTTCAGCTTCCTATCATCGTGGACCTTCTGATGCCTCTTCCGTTTTGAAGACTGTGCAAATGACTTTCCACACACAGAGCACAGGAATGGCTTCTCGCCCGTGTGTGTTCTCTGGTGACTCTGAAGAGTTGACGAGTGTGCAAATGTCTTCCCACACACAGAGCACAGGAACGGCTTGTCGCCCGTGTGTGTTCTCCGATGGTTTTGAAGAGTTGATGCCTGTGCAAATGCCTCCCCACACACAGAGCACAGGAATGGCTTCTCGCCCGTGTGTGTTCTCTGATGGTCTTGAAGAGTTACCGAGTGTGCAAATGCCTTCCCACACACAGGGCACAGGAATGGCTTCTCGCCCGTGTGTGTTCTTTGATGGTCTTGAAGAGTTGACGATTGTGCAAATGCCTTCCCACACACAGGGCACAGGAATGGCTTCTCGCCCGTGTGTGTTCTCTGATGGTCTTGAAGAGTTGACGAGTGTGCAAATGCCTCCACACACACAGAGCACTGGAATGACTTCTCGCCCGTGTGTGTTCTCTGATGAGTTTGAAGAGTTGACAATTGTGCAAATGCCTTCCCACACGCAGAGCACAGGAATGGCTTCTCGCCCGTGTGTGTTCTCTGGTGTCTCTGAAGATGTGATGGCCGTGAAAAGGACTTCCCACACACAGAGCAATTGAATGGCTTCTGGCCTCCGTGTGCGTGGGGCTGTGGAGAGCGTCTCTGCTCCATGTGAGCGTAGTAACAGCACCGGTGTTATCGAGTCAAATGTACGCTATCGGCCGCAATGATGTTTAGCGTTGAGTTGTGGATTTTGTTAACTGCTAAAACAAGAACGACACTCGCGTCTAACCGAGACGCAAAAAAATACCGCTAATTTGACGACGAACACGTTTAAGAGTTTATCCGCGAAAATAGACACTTACTTGGAGATTCACGGTATATCGATGTCTGGAACCCGTCTGAAGATGTCGCCACGAACTCTCCCGACGCAAAGTCGCCTAACTGTCGACACAGCAATTGTGCTCGCCAGGCTGCGTTGTCTCGCGGTTGAAGGGCGATCAGCAGAGCGACGAGTCGAGCGTCCAACCTCATCAAGTTCCCTCTCGAAATGGCATTGAGCTCTGCTTCTGAGCCGCCTTATAACTCCCCTTCCCCCTAGGATCCAATCCTTTGTCTTTCAGGATATTTGCATTCGATTGTTAATTTTGGAAGGTACAATCCGCATGTCTATTAACATACCGAAGGGTAATGTGCCCATTGTGCTTCATGCGTGAATATGTAAGTGCATCTCGGTGTGTAATTGTGCGCTTATTTTGAATAAATGGAAAAACTTCGTCCTCGATTTAAAGTGAATGCAGAGAAATTACATTTAACTTTAGAAAAGGAAGAGAGCTGCCTTCTCGACGAGGGAGTGAAACCCAATAGGTAATATTCTTTTACAGCGTTACAATGGATAGGTTGTAGTTCATAGGTTATAATATTATGTTTCACTATGATAAAGCTTATCATGTGAGAGTGTACAATATCAGAGTTGATCAAATGCGACGATCAAGGGCGTCAATCGGGTGAGTTTGATCAGAGGCTTTAATCAAAGGCGTCATCCCATCACGGAACACCACCTCCCTGCGTTTATTACAGCAACAGAAGCAACAACAGCAGCGACAACAACAGCAGCAACATCACATTTCGAGGGCGACGCAGCTACTTCCGATTCTGCTGCCCAGCTGTTTGGAGTCAGGACCTGCTCTCGCAGGAGCCCACACGTCTTTGGAAATGATTGCGATGATCATGTCTGAGCTGAGAATTAAGTCACTCAAGATTTCTTTGTTTAACCGTAACTTTAGGTAGGTTAGTGTCATCGGGGCTCTGTGAATACTACTCATGAATGAAATCACACTCCTGTATGACCGACATTGTACTAATTTTGGTTGATCGAGTAGAACAAGTCACATGACATGTCCAGACGAATTCTTATCAACAACAGTGTCCTTAAATATGATGCTAAAATAAATGTTAACACTGGATTAAACGTGCACCTCTTAACCCCTCCCTCGCATTTACGACTAACGATTTGCATTTTCACATGTGCATGATTCTTATACGACCACACTGTGATTCTAATGATATTATAATACCTTACCTCCGTGTATATGGTTATAAGTTTATAATCGTTTAATGATTAGTGTTATCGTTCATAGTATTACAGTTTACATGTTATAAAGTACAGTTTATCCCCGACATACTTCGGGATTAGGGACTGGTACGTTGATGAACGATTAACTACGGGGACCTTTCCACTCAAGGAACACGTGTTAATCGGGTAGACAGCCAAGATGCTGCCGGTTAAGGGCACACTTGTGTGACGGAGATCCTCCACCTGAAATTCTCTTAACATGTTTTTTCTGGGAACATTATAAAATAAAGACCGGACAAACATTTGTAAAAAATACGTTTTTATTCATCTGCAATCATTTTTACGTCAAAACTCGAAGGGAATATGTATTATGTTCTATGTTCACACATTTCCAGTATAATGCAAACCATTTTCCGTTCTAGGAATACCAAAGCGTTAACATATAATTCCCCATGATTTCCTTATTAGTTCACCACATTTGTTCACTGTGCGTCTATGTTGAAGTCA